AGAGTTCGCTGAAGCCTGTATACCTACATTGCTAGTACAGTATACTCCAATGTAATTTTAACTCACAGGGCATTGTTCTTGACACCACCTGACTCTTCAAACAAAACTTGAAGATCAGTTTCAAAAGATGTCATGCCCGATTACTTATTTAGTAAACGAGAGTGACCACATTGTGTCGACAGAGCAAGAACATTGTCAATCGCCAATGGGATGCCATCGTCTGTTTGTGGTAAAACATCCGATTAGAACTGAAGTAATATTAGAGAAAGCACAAGTAATATTTAGGTAGCATAAAAATGGCGGTGTTTAAGGACTGCGCGATGTTACCTCAGTTTTCTTTTTTTATCTAAAAATCCGCAGACGTACCAGGTTATGCAACAGCTGTGTCCTCAAATTGTGTTGTTTCTTCTTACAGTCGCTCAATTTCGTGGATATTACTGACAAGAAAGATATTCGAGACCCAAGGTTTCGCAGTAAATGTTGAGTTTGGCGTCTTAATTGTTCAACACTTTCGTGTGACTGCTATTTGCATATATTTAGTAATTCACAGCATTATTCAAAAGCACGTGGTTGATTGTAAACTTTGTTCTTAACAGAAAGACATTTATGTTTTGTTATATTCACACCTACGCCTACACTGGACTGAATAATGAATTGTATGATATCATATGGCAAGGTATTCTCTGATCCTATGCTAACCTGTTTGTCGGAAATACTTTCATATTATTTCTGAATATGATACTTTTTCAATATTCGTGATTGTGAAAATTAGTGTAACGCAAACACCAGTCTGGTGACAAGCATAGCCATTCACAAGCTGAAATACATGTTTAAATCCCTCACTAACATTCTTTATTCTGTGGCGTTACACTAGAGTAAAATATGATGTACTGGCTGATATTCATTGATACTCATTAAGAAAGGATCACTCATGTGAGCTTACCATAAGCCAAGTTGACTCCCGTAGCGTAAAATACTCACCTGATATTTCTGTACGGTGTACAATAAATGTAGCCGGCCTGAGTAACGTGAGACGTCGTTATAACTTGCACTTTGGTTTACAAATTATTATGCCCTTGTTAACCGATAGCGATTCAGTGATATTGATGTTTTAAATTGATCAGTCTACAGCTACAAAGCCCTGCGCCAAAACGTCCGAGATAGCACAGAATAACAATAGAGCGTGATGGATTTCTCGTCAAAGAATAATCGAGTTTCAATTAATAACCTCCACGAAGTTTGAGACTATTTTCAGCTGTCTGGTATGCGCGCTAAATACCTTTATAAAGAATCACCATTGTACAATATTCGCATTCTGAATCGCCACATTTTTGACATTTGGAGAAGCGAACGCCAGTACAATTGTCAATCGATCATTTCGATTGTACATCAGAGGAAAAAAAAAATGGTAAGATCTTTTTCTGGCATTCATTTTTCTTTAACCGTGTTTGTTTTCATAAACAACCGACAGACAAATCTTTATTTCTGTTCATCGTATGATGTTTAATTTGGATCTAATTTTATGAAAGCTTTTAAAAACACATGCGAAACCTTCGTGACAAAATCCTAAAAGAAGATCTTAAAGCTCATATAATCTAGGACTAGAAAGTTCGTCGACTCTTGAACATATCAAGCAAAGAATGTGTGAACTTATTTAATTAACTAAAAAATAGTAACTATTGGATCAAAGGACAAATAATTATAAGAAAGGAGTTCCGCATTTTGGCCCGTCTCCCTATTATCTTTATCTTGCTTTATTTATATCAGCTTGTCACCCTCAGTGAATAACATTAAATTTTTCTCTCATTTTCCTTTGCTACTGGGAAGTAGCCACTGCGAAATACTAGAATATATTCTAGAAGTAATGAAACAACGTTATATTTTGAACTTACATGCACAGCGAATGGTAGGAGGATTAATGCTCGTTCATGAAATGTTTGGGGCCAGTTTGTCGGCAATTAGGCTGAAGAGAGTTTGGGGAACGGGGTGGGTAGTACGAGGAGGTCGGGTACCCCCATGTTATACCCCATAAATAAAGGCTTCGCGCTAATTGTTATTCGGTGTTATTGTACTACCGTAGCGTAGTATTCAGATGGAAAAAGACAGATAGGTAGACCCGGGGAGACATGGAGACGATCGGTTTAAAGGGTGATGAAGGAGAAAGGGTAGAGCTGGGGAAAGATTGGAAAATTAGCGAAGGACAAGCTGTAATATTCTAGAGCCAATAAACCAGCCAAAACTCGAGAACACAACTCTGTTTTAATTCAAGCAACTGACAACGTGTTTCATCCAACTGAACTACTGGAAAACTACTGGGGGAGCGGTTACACAGCTCACAACATTCTACACTCCCCCGCTAAGCCATGAAAACTAGTACAATAAATCAACGACAAAACTTAGCTTGCAGTTCTTAAGTGTCTCTGTTCTAATAACCTAAAA